GTTTGTTGAAATTATAGTATTTAATGAACTAGCGCACTGTGTACAATCGTGTACAAATGGCACCCCTGTTCATTGTATCATACTCTTTGAAATATGTTTGAATAAATGATCTCAACTTTTCATATTCTTAATTTTTTCTGAAAGTAATTTAAATTTTCTTCCTAAGAAAACTTTTATATATAAAGAAAATATTAGGAGAGAAAATGAAAATATAATTGTTTATAACATAGTAAAAATAGCTCTCGAAATTGGTAAATTCATACAGAGTTATTCATATTTATAATGCATCAGTATTTCACAATCAGGGAATGTTTGATTTTATTACCAATGTATAAGTCGACCCCCTGATTTCCATAAAAATTTAGGCGTTTAAAAAGTCAACTTATACACCGAGATATACAGTATTTAGTTCAGGTAAAGAAAATATATTGGCTTCCATTAACAAGTTGTCAGCCATTTATAAAGACTGCACACAGAATACATACAAACATTCAGCACATTTTTGGCGCACTTTGCTATTGAAGTTGACATTAGAAATAGGTATGTTATGCATTACAAATGAAAAGCTCACAAATATTTTTTATGGCCCCACCAGGGTCAGCCCAAGGAATAAGCCTACTAAGCGGCTGCGTAGGGCGCCAAGTATGGGGGGTGAGGCTCTGGAGTCAAGTAAGGCTAGATTAAAAAAAAACTTTTTACGGTTTTTTCACCTTCTAAAAACTTTTTTTCTTTGCTTGCTTGTTGAAAAATAAAAGTTAAAATGAACTTGTTTTCCTAAAATAAAATGGGTAAATATATCTAATACTCTAATAACAAAATAACCCTTCAAACTGTGTAGCAATGCAACATTCCTTATCTTAGTGCTGATAATAGTCTGGTCTGAAAATTTATGATTTGCGGGTGCAGTCACTCAGGCCTGCACCCGCCTGACTAAGGCCTGTTAAGTTTCTTTTGTTTCTTCAAGAAAACCCTTTGGAGACAATGTGAGTGACTTGCCTATAGTAATTTCATCTCACAAATGTTATAAGAAAAATTTATTATGTGAAGGTAAGCACTTTTTCTTAAAAGAAAAATGGGAAGTTGCAAATATACAATTAATACAAAATTTTTAAGGAAAACAAATAAGCGAAAGGTAGTTTTTGATTCGTCAGAAAAATTAACAATTACTTTGTTTGAGGAAGGGTATAACAGGCACTCCTTGAATTTCTTGCAGCACAGTGCTATGAAAGCAAGTATCGATTTGAAATTTTTCATATTCTAAAAGCATACCAGCATTTTCAGATTCAAGTTACTTTTTGATTCTTTTTAAAAGTAAATACAAAACTCATTGCTTTCCTTCAGTTAATTAATAATTTCATAAATTTTCAGTTTTCAAAATGCAATATTAATTTAAAAGTATTATAATCATATTGTTTTATTTTATTTTATCAACATATGATTTGTTTACAATGCTTTATTTTAATTAAAAAATCAAAAACTTGAAATTTTTTTCCTTTTAATTAGTATGAAATAATGTGAACTTGTCAGATCAGATTAGTATTAATTTCCTTAATTAATTATTAAATTAGTTCTTTTTTTCCTTCTCAAATCTATTCTGTTCAAAGAATTGCCGATTGTATTCAAAGTCCTCCAAGTTCGCATAACAAATCATTACCTCTGGGGGACTGAATTGGAGATTGATCATTTTCTGATTTAGGTCAAAATTACGCTATGTTTATGAATGAATGGAGTAGGATTGAGCCCTCCCTGCAAAACTGGCTGCGATATGTATGTGGCTGAAGTCGTATTCGTGGCCATAGATTGTGCCACTGTAAAAACTAGAAATGCGTCCTTTGCTTTAAAAATTTGCTTGATTTTAAGCAGGCTTGCTAATATTGGCAAGTGGCATAACAACAACAGCAAAAATTATATCACTCTTTATAATTATATTATCACTCTTTATAATTACATTTCTTTATGATTATATCAATTATATAATTATAAAGAAATGTATTGATATTTTAATAAATATTTAGCAGAGAATTCACATAATAAAGTAAGAAACTCTTGAATGAAATATCTGTATGCATCTGATAGTCCAATGTGTAAACATTTGAACAATTTTGAAATGTTTGCAATATTTCGTTCATGCTCTGTATTTTGGCATGTTAAACTATGAAGCAAAACAAAATGTTACACTTTATTATCCAATTTTTCTTTATCATTATCAAATAAAATGATTTCAAAATATAAAAAATTAAGATTTAAAATCGTATGCAAACAATACTTTCTTTTCATCTGAGAATGCCTGTCATAAATGAAAAGTAGATAAAAATGCAAACATTATGTAGATATCTAATATTTTGATTGCTCTTCTAAAATTGGTTAGGGTAGAGTATTTTTTTTCTCCACGCTATTGAATTTACATAAAAGTATATTATAAAAGTAATTTGTACCGCATTTTTAAATAAAAAAATAAGTATAGAAAATGTGTAGACTTTGACTTACTAAAAAGTATTAAGAACAAAATTAATTTCACTCTGTACAGTATATTTATTATTATCCTTAACGTATAGAGTGCCAAAAATATTTTTGCTTACACTTAAAAATTGCCACAGACCAGCCCTGGGTGCCACAAATTAGATGACCAGCTAAATTTGTTAACTAAGTTTACATATCAATCAGCATAAAAAATGAAATAAAATATTTTTTAATATTTACCTCTTGTAGTCTAGCAAAAAGAAAATCATTTTGAGATTTCACATGCTTTAATTCCCTTTGAGTGTTTCTTAAAGCAGATTCAATTGCCTACAATAATTAATAAATATTATTATCTAAAAAAATTAATTTATAAGTTTTATATGCAATGTTTACAGTTAATAAACTACAGCAGCAATTTTATGTGGAATAATAATTAATGACATCTATTAATAATAGTGTTGTGTTTTTTAATCAATAATATAGCCAGAATTTTATTTTGGAGGTCTAAGAAATTTTAATATTCATTCTCTCTCTCTGTGTATACATATGCGTGTGTGGTCTTCACTTTCTCCAAATAAGCTATCAAGAGAATAATAATCGCTTATGTAAAGAATTCTCTTCGCAATAATATCAGGAAAAATGTTCTGACTAACTCTGGAGTAATGCTAGTTAATAGGAATAACTCCGGAATAATGTTAGTGACCATGGTTACGATGTTTAACTATTTCAAGAAGGGGTGTGGATAAGCATTTAAGACAGGTTTTTGCTGAGTGAGAGAATCTTTCTCTCTTTAAAATGCTTTATTTTTTTATCTTATAGCAGCGTTGATTTTTTTGACTGTCTAAGATTTTTGTAGTGAGGGGTGTTCTATATATAGATAGGGAAAGAAAATAAAAAAAAAAGTAAACAAAATATTTTGTGCTTCAATTTTTCCAAGGAGTCAAATTAAGTATTATTTACCATGATGTTGATTTCTTGTTAAACAATAATATCGCCTTTTTTTCTAATTAAAGGGCGAATTTTTTTTTTTTTTCAAAATTGATTTTCACCCTATGGACTTCTCCTCTGCTGCACAATTGACTTAAATGAATATTACTCCTTTAATTCCTTATTCAATCTCATGACAACTAATATTTAAAAAAATGATTACCATTTTATGTCATTAGCCAAGAAATGGAGGAATAAGTTTCATAAGAGTATACAAAAATCTATAGAGAATATTAACATTTTAATAACGATAACATTGTAGAATACGTGTCATAAAAAAGAGAAATGTAAATTTAAGTTAATTCCTTTCATATAAACTTGAAAGTCTGTTTGTTTTGATGTTTGTTGATAACTCCAGTGTAGTGTTATTTTATAGTGATTTGTGTTATTTTTTTAGAGCAAAATGTCAATAAAACAAAAAAGATTGCTGAAATTCATTGTTTTAAACTAAACTTTTCTTCATAAGCTTTGATAAAACATTTTGTGTCTATATATAAGGACAATTTTTCAGATTATTCTGCAATATTTCCATATTCTAATCTCAAATTAATCATACGCTGAATGATATATTTTATTTTACAAAGAACTATAAACAGTATTGTAACAAAATTCTTATCTTTTCCATTTTTACAAGTGCAAGCAAGATGAAATAAACTCAATAAAAAAAAAAACTGATGGTATAAAAGAGTGAAACTGTACTTTTTGAAGATATATATAAGATATAATTTGCAGCTACAGTCCTGTATTAACCAACCATGGAATATAACTTATAATATAACCATGGAAATCTTAGTAAAAAAAGTTATTATGTCTTACACATTAGGAGTCAAAAATTAATATTCAAATGAGAAAAAAACATGATAGCATTAACAAAGTAGAAGTTAAGCTTCAAAACTAGTTTATTCATTAAGGATGAGATCATAATTGTTGACAATTGATTTAAGATGTTAAGGTAACCTTTAATTGCTTTAAATCTAAATTCAGATTTTTACTTTAAAAAAAATCCGAATTCTTTCACTGAATATTCATTTTTGAATTTTCACTCTCCTAAGCACTTTTTATTTATTGATTACTGACATTGTTGCTAAAATACATACCAAAGATGGGATTTGGAGAATACTTAAAAGTGATTAAATGACTCAAATCATCATGCATAAGGGGTTGATATATGTATTAGCATTGAATTCATTTACATCAAAAATTTTATACGCAATATTGAATTATCGTGAATATTAAGAATTCCAATAAGGTATAAAGAACAAAATATAAACTTTATATAAAGCTTACTGAATAGTGTGTTTCATCCTGGAAAGAGTTTCTTTTATTTATACATTGCTGGAAATCGGCAATTTTTTCACCCAACCTCTTATTTTCTGTCTGCAGATCAGTTATAGCATCTTTCAAAAAACATTCTTTCCTTACAGAAGCCTGTAACTTTTCCTGTTATGCAAAGAAATTAACATATGTAAAATTACTTAAAAATAAAATATTAGTGCCATAAAAATGGAAGCAAATTTATGTTTCAGGAAGTACAATGCTTCTCACATATATATATATAATATTTACCTACATAATGAGAGAATGAATATCCAAGGGACACAAAATTGGTGTGCCCCCCTCAATAAAAGTTAGGGAAAATCTTGCAAAGTAAATTCGCAAAATGTCTCGAATAAGAAAAATCTTAGTAATTCTAATAGGTCTATTAAATAAGTCGTGGGAAAATATATTTCTTACAAGTTAGAAAAGGGAAAAGGATTAAAATGTTAATTAACGCATACTTGAACTAAAAATAGATTAAAAGACAGGATGCGAATATTAAAGTGCGAGAAAGAGCGTTTTGTTTTGAATGATAAATTAAGAAAAAGATTTACAAAAAAGGAATAACATAAAAAGTTTAGTTGAAGCTTTTTATATTATATTATATTATATTATATATATAGCAATAGAATGATCTAGAACATTAATAAACATTTGCTTCATTAAATCATAAATTTTCCATCAAGTCTAACTTTTTAAGTGCCTATTGTTCACTTAATAAGTTCACAAAATAGAAGATAAAATTAAAATAACAAAAATGAAGCATATAATTATAACATGAAGAAAGTAAGAGAATAGAATTGTCATGTATTTCTTTTATTTATTTTTTTATAAAAATTTATAACAGAGTAATTTATATGTAACATTTATATGTAATTTATAGTAATTTATATGTAACATCATGAGTTAAAATAATTAAGTTTGAGAATAAATATCCATTACTGATGATATTTTTCAACTGTAGTTGTAGTTTGTTAAAAACATTCCCTTTAACTTTTAATCACTAAACTTTTTGTTTCTATTTAAATAACTCATTTGTTGAAAATCACACATGTTCAAGACTTCTAATGTTTGATATTGCTTAAATACTTATTAACACAACCAAACAACAATGAGTAAACATTCAATTATCTTTATTCAGCTGCAATTATGAATGTGATATAGCAGTGGTTTTATAAGATCATGATTAGCTTAATAGCTCAAAACAAATCTAGATTCATTTTAATATTATATAGTGGTAAAAAAACAATGGGATTATAAATGGTGCATATACAAATCTTGTGTTTTAACTTTGTGATGTTAAATAACACAGAAAAATTCTAAAAATCTAATTTAAATATTTCATATGACACAATGAAATATATGATTATAATAAAAAATTTAAACAGACAATTTAAGGTTATGGACAGAAAGATTTGGCAAAACATTCTTTGGCAAGCCCCACTACAACAAAAAATATGAAATATTTTAGGAGGATTGTGATGATTCAGAAAGATTCAATGTGGTTAAAGAAAACCAATGTGACCAACTTCTTATGCTTAAAATTTATACTGAAAAAAATGACAATTTTTGATAAAAAAATCTTCAAAGGATGCTGGTGGGTTGATTTAAAAATGATTCTTTAATTAATTTGATAAAACCAAAAGAAATTTTTTAATATATGCTGTTAAATTATTCTAATGTAATGTAAATGTTTTTATTATATATTCATTTAGGACTTTCCTTACATATTGGTTGCTGACATTTAAGCCTAACTTAACTCAAAGGAAAAAGAGATAAGAAGCCTTTTGTTCATCTTGAACAAGACTTACACTGCCAAAATTAATAAATATTAGCATTAACAGTATGAACAAAAAAAAAAAGTTTTAAAATAATTGTTTTTATTATTTATTTTAACATATAAGTAGCATTTGGAAACAAGATGGTGTTATAGATTTTCGCTAAGCCCTCTCTCTAAAAGTACAAAATGAGTTTGTTGAAATTTTTTCAAAGTAAATTGTGCATCAAAAGACATGTAAGTGTTTCGATTTCTGTTTTAAAAAATTGGTCTACAGTGAAACCTCGTATTATGGACACTCCTACAAAACGGACGCTCCTCAATAAGAGCATGATTTTAATTCCCTGTGATATCCATAATAAAAAATATTGTTAAGCTATTTCACTACTAAAGAATCAATCATCTTGCCTTATCTTTGCAAAGAAAGGAGAGAAAATATTTCTCATGTGAAATAATTCAGACCGTGGCATATTTTGATCTTTTCATCTGGACGACGCAAGTTATGAGACCCGCACAAGCTGAAATGACATATTAAATGCTCTCAATGCTTCTTCCCCATTGAAAATTTCTTTCATTTAATTGTCAATTTCAAGGCTGAATTTAACACAGCTGGGTCAAAAAAAAAAAAAGAGAACAGAAATATAGTTTTTGAGGTGTTCATGTAAATGAAACATTTATTCAGATATTTGACAGATGATCACTTGTGAATATATCAAGTCCATAAGTCTTTGTGCCGTACAGGTATACGCGGGAGATTTACTTTCAAAGAGATATAATAACCATGTTTCCTACCCAGTGTCGGGTAGGTGTTAAGGGGTGTGAACCTAATAAATGAAACTGTCTGAGGTCTAAAAGCTCCTATTTGGTATCATGTGACTAACTTGAATATCTGTGTTAATAGGAAAATTATATTAATTTATCTGTATATTTAGAATTACTATTATAGATTACTAGCTATATTTAGAATTATGTATTTATAACAAACTTTTTCATGTATATAGAAAAAAATAATTTTTGAAGTTTAAATAAATATCCTTGAAGATAGTTATTGTAGATTATTTATTTATTTCGATATCATCAAAAATATTCTAAAAACAATTTAAGGTGTCAAACTTCATTATTAGGGAATCCTTCCCATAAACGGACATTTTTTTCGGTCCCAAGAGTGACCGCTTAACCGAGCTTTCACTGTATTTTTAACTACCAAATTATCCTTATAAAAAATAAAGACAGAAAAAATAACAAATGCAAATATGAGAACAAATAGAAAAGGAATTATCAAATCACAAATGTAGGAGGAGCATTCTAAATAGATCTTTTTGATAAAATTTTGGTGTGAAACCATTTATTCTATTTTTGTAATAAATTGTGATTTAATACTTTATTTGTATAAAGATAAAATAAATTGAAAAATAATAAATAGTTAAAATTTTGTTTTTAATAACATTGGTGGTTTTTCAAAAACAAAAATTGATTTAATTTTAGTAGCAGAAAGTGCTTAGCAGTAAAAATCTAATACAATTCTACCCAGAGGATAGTAACTAACTAACCCCTGAACAATTTCAAATTTACAATAAATAGCTGCATAATCTTACCGGATCTTAAGCAAGTGCAATTCTAAATCAAGCTTGTGCATATGCTACATACGACAAAGAGTGCATTCTAAAATAGAAAAATATAAGTGAACATGTAACAAAATAATTAAGAGATTCAGAAACATTGTTACAACATATTAATAAATTAAAAATTTTCTTGCATTATGAGCAGAAATGTAAACATCTATTTTACCTTCATTGAGTTAATCATAAGTACATTATTCTTAATTATCATATTATAGTAGTTCTTCATTTTTTGAACAAGTTCTTCATGGGTTTGAATTAAATGCTGAGTATGTGCATCTTTCAGAGTTTCAACCTCTTCAATTGTTTTACTTTGCAGAATACAGAGTTGATTTTTAATGTTTCCGATTTCTTCTACTTCTTTATTTTTAATTATATCTATTTCAGATTGATATTTTTCATGAAGAGCACAAAGTTCTTCCCCATATTTCTGTAATAAAATAATAAAAAATAAGAACTGTGGAAAAAATGCTAATCTTATTATAAAGACAAAACCCACAGGTGAATTCGCAACAATAAATTAAATTGCACATATATTCAAGAATTTGTCAGAATCACAACAGCATTAAAATTTAATTTAAAAATACTCAAAGCTTTTAGGGTATAAAAGGATAATAATAAGCAATGCATAGCTGCAGATCAGAGATGCACAACCTTTTTTAGATACAGCACCAAAAGAATAGACTAATAGAACTAAAAAATATCAAGTTGAGGGGCAAAATAATTAACAAATGTTATTTGTAAAAATATAAGGTGTATTCTAATGCTGCTAGTTACAGGAGAGAGTGAGAAAGCTGGAACACACAATACTTGACTTTTATCCTAATTCGTATTAAGCTGATGCCAACAACTAAAACCCAACTATAATTGTTCAAATTTACAGAAGAATAAAAGTATAGGCTAATTCTCTTCCCTTCTTGCTTGCAAAGCCTCTAGTGAATCACTGAAAGAAGTACAAACCAGTGGCGTAGCGAGGGGTGGGCAAGGGGGGGGCATCATGCCCCGGGCGCTACTCACAAAGGGGCGCCAAATGGTCCGCAAAACAAAAAATTGCTGGATAATTTTTGTTATAATTGATTTCTGGAAAATATATTTTAAATTTAGTGCCAGTGTAATATAATAAATGTTAATTCGTAAATAAAAAGGAAAAAAGGAACACTAATAGTCTAAATCAAACTGTAATAATATATTCATAATAGATATGGCACGTCTTTTCTACTGGCAGGGCGACCTGTGTCTGTCAGCACTTTCTTATGGCATCTACGCTGTGTGGTTACATAAATTATCTCCTTTCCTGATTTGTCTGATAAAATAATATGTTACAATAAATATTTGCAGTGTACACAGTACAAACATTCTTCCTTTCAGAACACTATTTTTTTTTATTTCTGGAAACGCAATGTAGCTTACGCTTGTAATTTTAAAACAGTAACAATAACACTCTAATGTACTTACATGTACAGTCACGGTCAACTAATCGTCTAATGCCAAAATTTTGGTTTTCTCGACGGGACGGTAATGAAGAAGAAGCAACTGAAGTTAATCGATCCTGGTTATTATATTCACCAGAAAATAATGCAGCGTACTGCTTTTGTTGCTTACTGTTTATTACATAAAATTCCGCTACACAATCATCTTTCGTAACATCTGCAGGTTTTAATAAATGGAAGAAAAAAGATGAATTGATTAGCCATGAAAGAAGTGAAAATCACTTACGGCTTGGAAAGAAACAGAACGAAGATTAATAAGTAGAACGGGAAATGATGTATCATTAGAAGCGAACATTCAGTCCGAAAAAGAACGGTGGCGAAATATATTTAAAGGAATATTAGCTTGCTTGAGGTATTTAATTATACAAAATCTTCCTCTACGTGGCCATGTTGAAAAACTAGCACTTCAAGATGGTACAAATGTAGGAAACCTATTATCTTTATTTAGATTTGCAGCTCAGTTTGATCCGCTACTAGCAAATCATCTTAATCATGCCACAGGAACTCCAAAAACTGTCTCATATTTGTCACCACAGATTCAAAATGAATTCATTCATCTTCTGGCATCTACAATTCGAAATCAACTAATAAACGATATCAAAAGAAATAAATATTATGGACTTTTGTTTGATTTAACTCCTGATATCTCTCATCGAGAACAAATGTCCCAAGTCGCTAGGTATGTAGATGTTGATTTTATCCATAAAAAAGTTTCCATCAAAGAATCTTTTTTGGGTATTATTGAAATACACGATAAAGATACAGCCTCGATCGAAAATACAATTTTAGAAAAATTAAATTCCGATGAAATTTCATTAACAAACTGCAGATCACAATGTTACGATAATGCTGCCGAGATGGCAGGTCACACATCTGGCGTTCAACAAAGAATAATGGAAAAAAATCAGTAGGAGCTACTGCAGCTAAACAAGATCCAATCGTTGTGACATGTTTTGGAATAATTGAAAACATATACGTATCTATTTTTCTCACGTTCAAAACGTTACAATGGAGCTCCAGAATACAAGCGGTTATCGTCGATGGGCTAGAGAATATAGTAGAACTATTAGAAAAATTAGCAGAGGACACTACAAGTGACACCAGAAGTGAAGTTACAATTCTGTTGCAAAATATACTAACTTTTAGTTTCATACCTTAAGTTCATTTCTGGTGTGAAATCTTAAGGAGGATTGATCGCGCGCAGCTCAGATCCTGGAATGAATTTTAAAGAAGCGTTCCATGATCTTGAATCAATGAACTAGCCGAAATTCGAGACAAGCTCTGTGAAGAGGCATTAGAAAAAGCGAAGTCTCTTTGTGAAGAATGGGATATTGATGCAACAATACGTGTAAGAAAACGCCGCAAAATGCCCGGAGAATTGGCTAGAGATGTTGGTATTTCCGCAGAAAGTGAAATTTCTCGCGTTATGGAAAGCGTTCTTGATCTTCTCCAACAAGAAATATGTACACGATTAAGTGACCTTAATTTCAAACTTGCATTTCTACTAGACGTTGAAAATTTATTAAACAAGGATAATGTTGATAACAACCTTAAAAAATTTTTTAAAAATTTGGGTGAATTTTATGATACAGATTTCAATGGAATAGAACTCGTTATCGAAATATGTGACTGCAAAATGTTACTCCGCAGTAGAAAAAAAAAATCGAACCTAAAACTACATTAGAATTTCTTACTTTTATAATCTCGTATGGAGAAGATGATTTTCCAAACCTGAGAGTGGCACTTCAAATACTCCTGACTATCTCAGTATCAATTGCTAGCTGCGAACGTCCATTCAGCAATTTAAAGTTAATTTTGACATATCTACGATCAACGATGGGACAAGATCACCTAAGTGACCTAGCATTTTTAAGTGTGGAAAGAGAAAAATTTGAAATTATCAGCTTTGATGATATTATTGATAAATTTGCTTCATCAAAAGCAAGGAAAATTTATGCATAGTAATTAGTTTTATTAATGTATTATAATCATTTAAATATATGTATCTCCTTAGAGATAATAAATACTTACCTTTTTATTGTTTTAAAACTGCGTGTTTTTAAAATATTTCTTTATAAAAATGAAAAATAAATAATAGGTATCTTTTGAACTAATTCTAGATGACCATTTATACATTTCAAAATCTAGTCTTGTTTTCTCAACTGCATTTTTTGCCTCAAATTTAAAGCCTAGATTGAGCCTATGACTTTATTTATTTATTTATTTGCGAGTATATTTTGCATATTATATTGTATGGTTTTCGAACGGGGGGCGCTAAAGAGATATTGTGCCCCGGGCGCGAGTTAAGCTCGCTACGCCACTGGTACAAACAGAAGACTTTACTATACTCTAATCTGGAATTGCGACAGATAATGAATTTATAAAAGGGGGACAAATATATATTAATAGCACTTTGATAAAAGCTAAAGAAAAGAGGAGTATTGTTACCAGTCTTTGCTCCATAGCAGCATTTTCATGACTTATTTTTAGTTGGAAAATGTCATCCTTTAACTTATTTATTTCTTTTTCCAAGCTATCGATTTTCATTCGTTGCTCTTCTTCTATTATTAATTTTTCACCCATTTTTTCTTTCATTTTCTCGTCAATATTTTGCTGACATTCAAACATAACCTGCTTCATTTTTTGTTTGTATAGCTATAAAAAGGGACACTATATCAATATTTAATTATAATTAATGTGAATAATGCTACACCAAACAAAATACTTAAGTATAGAAAACTAAAATTTTCATGTGTATATATTAGCAGTGTGACAGTTAAGAATAATGAAAAAAAGTTTTTTTTCATTAAAATTTCATACATATTACTCTTGACTTATTTGTGCAACAAAAAGAATTAAAATGATTATTCACAAGAAATACAATTTAAAAAAAAAGCAAAAAATAACTAAAGGCAGATTAGTATTTGGTTCATAAAAGCAGATTGCATACTACAATAGTTAATAAGGACAAGTTTCTTTTCCAAGTTACATTGTTTTGATTTATATACCGACCATTTTTTTAAAATCAGATACAACACAAGGTTTCAATTACATTTCCGGTAGTAATGATAAATTCTTTCCTGACAACATATTGTTACAGGATCTCTTCAGACAGAAAAGGGCTTCTATTTCCTGTATGCCAATCTATGCAGTTCAAATGAATGCATTTTCCCTAACCCCTTCCTTCTTGCTCTCGTGAAAATAATAGGGGGAGGTTTTGCCCTCTATTTCTCGCCCGCATGAAATTTCCGGGCTGGAGTGTTGCTGTTGTTGTGTCCAATCCTTCAGGATCTAGCGACAGCTAGATCAAATGCAAGAGACTGTGGACCCTAGCAAAATCAAGCACCAGAAGTGGGCTATCACGGATATCCGCAAGAGCGAGCCTCAAGCAGTCGAGGATATGATCGGGGGAGGCCGGCATCAGATGGCACTTGGTGCATGTTGGAAAGACTTTGCGGCCGCATTCAAAGGTCATGCATGGGCTGGAGTGTAAGAAAAGCCACTGTTATGACTATCTTCTTGAAAATTAACCAATCGTTAAGGGGTTAATTACTTATTAACTAAATTTTGGAATAATTTTATTCATCAAAATTTATTTAATAAACTTTAAAAAGCGCAAACAGGAAGGATAAGGAGGTTTTAAAAGCATCCAAAAACTTAAAATTTTATAACTAACACATTTCAATGAATAACAAAACATATTTAAAACTATTATTAATTAGTCACTTAATTAATAAAGAATTGACTAGGTTAACAGGGGTAAATTGATAGTTTGATGGTCTAGGAAACATCCTTGAGGATGATCCGAAGATATACCATCAAAATTTTGATCCTCGGCAGAAAGGATGGCTCCTCCCATTTGGTAGCTCGATGACTTATGTGCAAAGTCAAAGTCGAGCACTCTATAGAAGAACAGTTTAGGGTGGACTGATACCGCACACCCTCGGTCCCTAAGCAGATTGATCAAAGTGGTCATCCACTCGCTTACTCTCCACAGTCACTGATGCTTGGCTTTAGTGTTCGACATGGAACCGTATATTTACGATCAGTCCAATGTGGGACTCTGTCTGAAAAGTATCCTTAAATGTTTTAACACAAAGATATGCAGGTAAAATATTTTAGTCAATATGCAAACTATCACTAGAATAAGCTTATCTTTAGTTACTCTGACACTCATCTCTGCAGACAATTGAACAGTTTACTGTAGATGAAAACTTAAAAAATTTTTTTAAGTTAAAGCACACAATTTTAAAAATTATACAAATACAATATGCTCTGATCTATACCTTAATTTCTGCAAGGTGTGAAAGCTCAGCTTCATCAAATTCACTGTCTTTCAACTGAAGGAGAGCATCTTTTTCTTCCAGTTGAGTCTTTGTAACTTCCCAAAATAGCTGAATTTTATCTCTCTCTATTTGAAAAAAATTTCTCTCTTCTTTCTCTTTTTCAACTTCTTGCTGAAGTTGATGCACATGATTTTCAAGCTAATGAGACACAAATTTTTTATATTATTATTTAATTGCAAAATAAATAGACAGAACAGTTTAAAATGTTGGAATCTAGGTTAAATTTGAATAAATATATAATACTTCTTTTTAAAAAAAAAAAAAAAAAAAAAAAAAAAAAAAAAAACACTTAAATTCATCCATTCATTGTCAATAAGAAATAGTATTTTTTTTCTTTTCATATCTTTATCAACAAATATAAGCATCTTAGCTTCATTTTAATATTTTGTATGCTAAACCGAATAAAACATAAACTATTTAATTTTTGCTGGTTTAACAGAAATTTATTTTTGTTTGTTAGCATGTTACATAATAAAAGTGGTATAGTGCACAACCTTTTTCAGTGAAGAGCTATTTGCATAACAGGCTGGCTAATGAATGGCCAAATACACAAGTTCTTAGACACGTTGATGACACTTAGCTTCTTCAGAACTACAGCCTAGTGTAGGCCAAAACTTTCTCAGTCTGCCTCTTCCAAACAGTTTGACTACTAGCTAGATTTCTCCAACTATTCACTCTCAATACTTTTAGGTCCTTTTCCACACAGTCTAACCACCTTGTTGTTTCTCTTTATTGTGACCTCAATCTTTGAAAATGTTAGTTTTTTTAGATGGATCAGAATCTTCATGATGAAAAACATGCCCCAGCCGTCTGATCCTGTATGACTTAATACCTCTCAAAATGTTATCATATTCTCACTTAACACTTATACGTTAATTTTTATATGAACATGAGTCCTCACTGTTCCAGACATTAAATCCTTTTTATTATTCATCTTAGTAATAAAATTATTTCATTTACGGAAATAAGTACCAAAATTTGTTTAGAATTGGTGAATTTAAAATTCATACTTTTATGTTGAAAATATTTTTCTTATCAAAAAGTTTATCTTATTTATTGGCATTCCAGGGTAAGCCACTATATATTATTGTTTAAGTTATTCCAAGTTAAACAACCAGGCAATTTCCTTGAGGGTGTGCAAATTCAAATACTAAAATATCCCCATGAAGTACACATGTAGAGGTGTTAAAAATCCTTGGTTTAAGTCTTTTAGAATTTCATATTCATAAAATATTCATTAAAAAATTACACTATATTTATCTATAAATTAATATTATTTTTTAAAAAATTATTCAACCTTTTAGTAATTTTTAACAAGAATAACAAATTTGAGATGCCTGTTTTCTATGAACTCTCAACACTAATGGTTTTCAAAAGAGTTCTGAAAGTTCATATCAAAATCCATTAATTATTTGATACTTTTGATACATGAGAAAGAAAAAAGCCTAACAATGTTCCTGATCTACAAGTTCAACTATCTGACATAAAGCCAAATTTAATGACTATTACTAATAAAGTGTGACATTTTTTTTTGTTTCCATTAAATGTTTTCACAATATAATTGGTTGTCTTACATTGGTTCATAATTGCTAATAAACTTTATTTATAAAGTGGGAGTATAACTAACTAAAGTGTTTTCAACTATTATAAAGTGTGTCGAAAATAATTCTTCTGAAAAACAGTATAGAAGCAAAAACATTTCATTTTATATAACAGAAGGAATAAAAAAATACATATGATTCATAAAATTTTCATTTTAATCTGATTGTGCAAATTATAAATAAAAAAAGTTTCGTTTAACTCACTTGATCTTTATTCATATCAGCTACAGACAAACCCAGAATAGCATAACTTCTGAACTGCTTCTTTCCTGTTTTTTTAGCAAGCATTTTCTTCTATTATGAAAGTAAAAGANCATTTACGGAAATAAGTACCAAAATTTGTTTAGAATTGGTGAATTTAAAATTCATACTTTTATGTTGAAAATATTTTTCTTATCAAAAAGTTTATCTTATTTATTGGCATTCCAGGGTAAGCCACTATATATTATTGTTTAAGTTATTCCAAGTTAAACAACCAGGCAATTTCCTTGAGGGTGTGCAAATTCAAATACTAAAATATCCCCATGAAGTACACATGTAGAGGTGTTAAAAATCCTTGGTTTAAGTCTTTTAGAATTTCATATTCATAAAATATTCATTAAAAAATTACACTATATTTATCTATAAATTAATATTATTTTTTAAAAAATTATTCAACCTTTTAGTAATTTTTAACAAGAATAACAAATTTGAGATGCCTGTTTTCTATGAACTCTCAACACTAATGGTTTTCAAAAGAGTTCTGAAAGTTCATATCAAAATCCATTAATTATTTGATACTTTTGATACATGAGAAAGAAAAAAGCCTAACAATGTTCCTGATCTACAAGTTCAACTATCTGACATAAAGCCAAATTTAATGACTATTACTAATAAAGTGTGACATTTTTTTTTGTTTCCATTAAATGTTTTCACAATATAATTGGTTGTCTTACATTGGTTCATAATTGCTAATAAACTTTATTTATAAAGTGGGAGTATAACTAACTAAAGTGTTTTCAACTATTATAAAGTGTGTCGAAAATAATTCTTCTGAAAAACAGTATAGAAGCAAAAACATTTCATTTTATATAACAGAAGGAATAAAAAAATACATATGATTCATAAAATTTTCATTTTAATCTGATTGTGCAAATTATAAATAAAAAAAGTTTCGTTTAACTCACTTGATCTTTATTCATATCAGCTACAGACAAACCCAGAATAGCATAACTTCTGAACTGCTTCTTTCCTGTTTTTTTAGCAAGCATTTTCTTCTATTATGAAAGTAAAAGATAGAAAAATATAATAAAACATTGCTTTGAAATTCATCTAATATTTAAACGTTGATTGAAAAAGTAAACCCCCAAGTAAACTAATTAAATAATTTTCTTTTATATTTTCAGATAGACATGAGTATTTTGTTTTATACTCTTAGAAAGAAATAAAATAAATAGAAACTTATGTCTAGTTTAAGAAAAGCTCGATGTGATGAGTACGGCATATTGCGAGTAGATATTTATTATAAAATAAGTGTTTTATATTTATTGCATGCAACGGTAAGAATATCAAATAAATCATTTCTTAGATCTTTCCCCTTTTTAAGTTCTGAATGGAACATATCACAGCACACATCAAATACATGAGAGTAATTAATTTTAAGTATCTAGCAATCATTACAAAACAAGCAAACAATTAAAAAGAAGTTTTTCGTAAAAATACAGATCTGAAACAAACATGTCATACTTTGCTATCCATTATTCTGATTGGGAAATACAAATATAATGTTCGAGAGACAATTAGATACTGGTATAAAATGATTTTCAGCGTTGTGTTTAAAAGCTGTTTATTTATATTATGTTTATGACGCTTTTGGCTGCTTATTTCTATTTTCTTAGTATTTAAGAATCCCGGTAAAAATATTTCGTTTATACGACATAATCAATACCATGCTTATAAAATAAAAATGGAAAGTTTTGCAGATAATTAATATGTAAATCTTGAGAACCTTTTATATTAAAACGTTCTCATTTATTAACTCCTCAAAAAATGTTTATTTTTTACCGTAAAATATTCAATCACTTTTTCGGCTGTTGCTTGGCTGACCGCCTTTTTAATAAATAGAGGCATTTGATTGGTCAATTACATCATCGTTTTCATCGTTATCGCTTAATCGTTTTGTCAGGTTTACTAGAATGGCGCTATTAGCATTTTTGCTTGGCGGAATTTTAAT